AATTGGACAAGTGCTGTTTTACGGTCTGATTGCTTAAAAAACAGATATTGAGATAGAGATAGAGAGATGATAGAGACACACACATATACACATATAGACATAGTCTAAATATATATAGCATCAAAGCCATACATGCATTTGGTTTTAAAAGCGTACTGAAATGTCTGTCTCCTGCCCGCCCCCACTTCTGGCCCCAAAGACAAACACTTGTATTATTTCTGGTTTTCAATTCTCTGTGGTTACTTCTGTATCACTAAGTAATCTTATAAGGCTGTTTCTGAAGTTTTCATAGGAAACACCACCTGATGACTTCCTGCTACTCAGGGACCAAACTCACCAAGGCCCTGCCCACCCCCTTCCGCCCTCTCCTGGTGGTTGGAATTGACCCTCCTGCGGCTGAGTTTTCTCACGTACCTGTGGTCCTTCGTTGTCCTCTTATGGCTAAAAATGAGAGGCAGCTCTGTGGGTAATCAGGCTCCACCTAAGGGTGGGGCAGGGAGCTGGCTTTTATGCTGGGGAACCCCTAAATGTAAGAATGGGGGATTTCCTGAGGCTCCAGTAGCCCCAGGAGTCCTCAGACCAGGAGTCCCAGACCAGGAGTCCCTCCTCAGACCAGGAGTCCCCAGACCAGGCATTTGGAGTTTTTGTTACTGCCTCAGAAGAGCCCTCTTTGTTGATATGGCAGAAGAGGTCCCTGGCTTTGGGTGGTCCTTGGGGAGCTGGGCAGGGGCTGGGGGCTGACTGTTGTGTGCACAGGCTTCCCCACAACTCCCCCATTCAGCTCTACTTCTCATCCTCCCTCCCTCCTCAGACCTCTATGAGCTCAGTCCCTGCGGGTCCTGGGGCAGATGGCTCCATCTCTCCTGTGCCCTTTGTGTGGCCTCTGGGTCTGTGGTTCTCAGACCCTCCTGCACACTGGCTTCCGGGCTGGGCTGTTAACTAAACGCTGTTGCTGAGAGGCTGGAGTCCTTGGTTTGGGATCCGCCCTAGTAGACAACCCTCTTGCTTCCCTCTCAGAAAGCGTGGATTTTCTCATTCATGGGCCTGGAGTCTGAGTCCTGACAGAAGCAGAGACAGAAGATAAAACCTGTTTGCTGAGGCAGATAACAGAATTGTTGCAATTTATACATTTAAACAAAATTAAGCTTAAGTTTCTGGGAAAGGAAAGGGGGACACACGCATTGGTTCATGGGGCTATCTTGAACAAAATGTCTGAAACCCTAATTCCAATCTCCACGTCCAACTTAATCTCTAGCACTTCTTTTTTGCACTTTACAATTAAGCAAGTATGAAGAAAAAAAAAAAACAGCAAAGTCAATAACCACCTCCTGTCACCTATTTATACGATTCTCTTTCCCTTACTGGAGATCACTCACGCTCCCCTCATCATTTCCAAGCCCAGATATAAAATGTGGTGGATCTGGGTCAGGCTGCTGGGACTCAGGGTCAGCCTCTGCCAGCTGCCCACTCCCCCACCCCCTCTGAGATGCCCCACCAGCTTCAGGTCCCACATTCTCGCGCAGCCAGCTTCAGAGGCAAGAGCCCGGGCACAGTGAGCACAGGAGCTCCTCCTGCCCTCCTCCCTCTTGTCAGGGTGAAAGTCCTTCTGAGAACCCCTGGCAGATCTTCCTTACAGGCCGCTGGCTGGAAAGTCTGGAGAACTCTGCACCCCACCCCTGACACAGCAGCCCTTGCTGGCAACTGAACCAACCAGGGTTCCGTCAGTGAGGAGCAGGAGGGCTCGGTGGGGCTGGAGGTGGGTCACAGGCATCCCCTCTGCGTTCCTTCTGTGTCTCTCTGGGGACACTGGCACGTGTGGGCTTGGCCTGCACTGCTGTCACAGGCCCTTCTTGGCTGTAATGGCTTCTGCCTTATTTTCCATATTGTTTTCTTGCCCTGTTTCCCACCTCATCGACTTGGTGTCCTGTGGTGTTGACAGTTCTCTGCATTATCAAATTATGCAAAAAATGACTTTTCTCTTGTTTCCTTACCCCCACTTCTACCTCCCCAAACCTCTTCTGATGCTTAGTTTATCTTTCATGTCTGGCTTCATCAACCATTTGCAAGCTGTTGTTCCTGTCCTCTGTTTGCAGGATCCAATATTTGTGTTGGCCTCCAGTTTCTTCCCCGCCTTTCTCCTTTGACTGGGGTCTTTTTATTTGTTCTGTTATGTGCCAGCAAACAGGTGTTTTACCATCTGTCTCCGCTTCTGTCAGGACACGACTTCGGCCGGTGAATCAGAAAACCAATGGCTTGTTTAGTCGTCCAGCTGCCTGGGCAGGGCAGGGGAGAGCTCGACCTCTGGGCACGAGCAGGGTCCCTGCTGCTCTCTCTGCGCCAGCTCTGTGAAGCCAGAGAACTGTCCCCTAAGCGAGGTGCGCCTGTAGGGGAAGGATCGCCCGGCGGAATCCAGCCCCTCTCCCACTTCCCCATCAGGCCCGGCGCGCCTGTTCCAGGGCCTCCTTGTGCGTCATGGCTCCCCCGCTCCCCGCCCCACCCTCCCCGTGTCCGCAGCCTCCTGCCCGGGCCCTTGCTCCTGGAAGGCGTTTCTCTTGAGTCTGGGCCGCAATGCTCTGCTGGAAGGTGCGCGCTTCGTGTCTTCACGGGAACGCGTGCGTGTCCCGCGTCCTGCGAGCGCCCCGCTCACAGCAAGGGCGTTTTCAGGGCTGTTGGCTTCTAGCCTCCCCACGGGGACCAGGCGCCCACAAAACTGGGGTGACGGGGCTGCTGCGGGTGAGGCCCCGCAGGACGCGGGTGGGGGACGCGGGCGTGGCGGGATGACCGTGAAGGCTGCGAGTGTGCTAGCGCTGACCACCCCCCCCACCCCGGCAACCCCCTGCAGGGGGCTCTGGCTGCTCCCGTTTCATAGGGCAGACCCTGCAGCGCTGGGGGGCCAGGTCCCTACTCAGAGCCCACAGTCAGTAACGGGTGAGCGTGACGGGCAGGCAACTGGGTCTGAAAGCGAATTCTTACCCATATAGCTTAAACACATGTCAGTTTGTCCGGTGGTCAATTACTCTAAAACCAGTTTGCTAAAAAACAGTAACCCATTTCCTAAATGACCAATTTCCTGAATTTACCAAATTAATAAATATAAACAAATGAGTTAACAGGGCCTAGGAGAACTTTGGGGAGCAAAGACTCCAGGGTTCTGGCTTCAGAAGTCTCCCTGGCCCACAGTCACCCCTTTCTGCCTGTCAGTCTTCCTCAACACTGGCCCTCGTCCTGCCCTTCTCAGGAATCAGCAGTTCAGCCTGTCTCGTAGACTCACTTCTCTTTCTGTCTCCCACCCAGGAGCTGGGTGGAGAAAAGTCAAACACTGGTTTAGGTCCTCTTAGGAAATAACGAAAACCTGTCTACTAAAATACAGAAAGTTCCAAAAGCTGCTTAAACTGTTATGGAAAACTATTTTGCCAGGCTAGAAAGGACCAAATGGCACTCTAAGGTCAAGTGGGTACAGGTTTTATTATCATCACACTAGTGGGCACCAGACAGGAGGGCGCTCTCCCTTGAAGGATCTGGGCCCTGAACATACACACGTTTCCTTTTACACTAGTTTAACATGGGTACATGGTGTAGAAGGGACACAGCAGGATCTCTATGATCCAAGCAGTCAGGTAAAGGAGAGTCCTGGAGCCCTTGGTGGCTTTTTCAGGCTTTTACTGAGCTTTTGCCAGGGGCACGGCAGGCAGGGGTGCCGGCAAAACTTCACTCTTTCTGGGCTCTCTGGCATTCTCTCATTCTGTTGCTTTTTCTCATTCACTGCTCTGCTCTCTCGTTCTGTTGCTCTTTCTTATTCTCTCTCTTGTTTCCTTTCCTTGGTTCCCCGTGATGCCGCCCTTACAAGCCCAGTCATGCCCACCTATGCATGCTCACACCCTGCTCCAGGTGCCCACATTCAGGCATGCATGTAGGATCACAGGGATCCATCATTAATATGTGAAGCCTGATTGTTTTTCACTTCCCCTACACATGTGTAGATTACAATTTGAAGGTCAGAAGGAAGATGATCAAAAAGGGACTTTCACTAAAGGGGAAGGGGAAAGGGCCAGCAGCAGAAGATAAGAGTCCTGCTCTGCTCTCCCTCTCCTCTTGGGATGCAGCCTTGTCAGCAAGAGCAGAACTTGCAAATGATAAGATAAACCTGCTAATTGCACCAAGTGGGAGTGTTTGTCTGGTGGGGCCTTTTTACTGCAAGGAGTTGTTGCATTGCTTTCCCCTTCACTATCAATTTCAACACAACTTTGGATATTTCCCACTTCAAAACCAGCCTATCCAATATGAACTATTTTGAGTTTGATGCGTAGGTAAAAGAAAGGCATTTCTGGTAAATGGACACAAGTGATCATTTTGATGACTTGATCATCCATTGAATTGGTTTTGGCTCACTGCCCACCTCTGCCCACGGTGCCTCTCACACAGGCTGGGCAGCTCAGCAGTTCCTCTCTGATGTGCATGCAGAGGCCTGGGATTCTATCTTTGTGACACCAACTTACAAAAGCTCATTAGCAGTAATGTAACAGGGACCTACTATGGGTACAAATGCCCAAGGAAGAACTAATTTATTCTGTGATTCCAGTAGTGTAGTAGGTGTGTATGCATGGCGATTTCAATGAAGCTGTGGCATTAATTTTTTTTTCAGATGAATTAAGCAATTTTACAGACGTAGCAATGTCACCTGGTAGAGTTTCCATTAAGATGTGTGCAGGGTAAGATAAAAAAGCATCAGGCTTTTCTGCCTTCCAGCCATTAGGATTGATGGAACTGTGTGGTCCTGAATGCATGCCTATTGGTGGGCACCTGGAGTAGGATGTGGGCATGCCTAAGTGGATACACCTGGGCCGAGAGACTGGGTTTATAAGGGCGGCGTCACAAGGACACCAGAGGAAGAGCAGAGCAGCAGAGGGAATGAGAGTGAAAGAGAAGCAGAGACCACCAGAGACCACCAGAGAATGCCGGAGAGCCCAGAAAGAGTGAAGACTTGCTGAGGGCTGGGAGGCCTGCCAGCCTCCTGGCTTCCCAGCACCCCTGCCTGCCGTGTACCTGGCAGATCCCAGTAAAAGACTGCAAAAGCCAGTGAGGGCTCCAGGACTCTCCTTACCCAATCTGCTCAGATCATAGAGATCCTGCTCCATGGCCTTCCTGCTGTTACAATGTGGTCGACTGTTTTGAACTAACAAAGCCTTGAATAGTGTCAATAAACATGTAAAGTAACACTGTATATTCAATTATAAAAATAAGTAAATACAGGGCCTCTCCTGGTGGCGCAGGCATTTGAGCACCTTGCTGTGAAGCTGTCGCAGCCTCTGCAGCACCGGTTTGATCCTGGCTGGCCAGCGAGGGTCCCACATGGCGCGGCAGACCTCTCCTGTCGCATCCACTACTCCCTTCAGCAGTGTATTTCATCAGTCTGCCTGTTCTCTTCCCTGCTGTCTCTGGTGAATCCTCTCACCCTCCCACACATCTGGCCTGTACCCCGGTTCTTGTATAAAAATAAATTAAAAAAAAAATACAACCTGATCTGAACATACATTTTTTCCCAATAATCCCAACATTATGATTTAGTGTCAGCAAAAGAAACACACCCATCAAGTTACATTGTTTGTAAGATTGAATATCAGTTTGAATAACCATTGCTTCTTTGTTTTACTATTATCTTTATATGTATTTATTTTTGGTTTACTTATAAAAGCCATATATAGGTTCATGTTCATACATAGTTTCATGTTCATATAACTTTAAGTAACATAATAAAAACACTGGTAAATGGGAATTCTTTTCTTTAAAAGGAAACTTTTAGTCTATCAAAAAATTCTTGAATTATTAGTGAGGATAAAAGGAATCTTTCATATGTACAACACAAATACCAAACTTTCAAAGAAAAACAAAAAATACAGGAGAATTGCATTTTTGACTAGCGATGCAATAATCCCAAATAAAAATATTTTCAAAGAGTAGCACATTAAAAGGATAATGCATTGACTGGGATTTATTCCAATAATGTAAGGATAACTCAGTTTCAAATGACTGTATTGTTAATAAATAAAAAAAGAGAAAACCTTGTGACATCACAGATGATAAAGGAGAAACAATAAAATTAACATTTCATTCTTGGATGAAGGGTTCCCCTGTCATACTCAGATGTTCAAGAAGCAGAGTATAGTGGCAGGATGGCCACATGGCAGGATCTCTATGACCCAAGCAGAAGGGTGAAGGAGCAGAGTCCTGGAGCCCTCAGTGGCTTTTTCAGGCTTTCATTGAGTTTACCAGGCACATGGCAGGCAGGGGTGCCTGCAGACTGAGAGGCTGGCTGCCCTCACAGCCCCTGGTGAGTCTTCACTCTTTCTGGGCTCTCCGGCACTGTAATGGCAGGAGGACAGGGAGCAGGATCTCTATGATCCTAGCAGACAGGTAAAGGAGAAGTCCTGGAGCCCTATATGGCTTTTTCAGGCTTTTTTTGGGATTCATCAGGTACACAGCAGGTAGAGGTGTTGGGAAGCCGGGAGGCTGGCAGGCCTCCCAGCCCCCAGCAAGTCTTTACTCTGTCTGGGCTCTCCGGATTTTCTTGTGGCCTCTGCTTCTCTCTTTTCTCTGTTCTTTCATTCTCTCTGGTTTCTGCTCTTCCTCTGGCATCCCTGTGATGCCACCCTTATAAGCCCAGTCTTAGCCCAGGTGAATCCCGTCTACATCTGCTCACACCCTACTCCAGGTGCCCGCCATCAGGCATGCATTCAGGACCACAGGGTTCCGTCATCTATCCTGATGGCGGGAGAGCAGAAAAGCCTGATACTTTTTCACTTACCCTACAGGCATTCTCTCGTGACCTCTGCTGCTCTGCTGGTCTTCTCTTTTGCTCTCGTGATGTTCTCATGATGCTGCCCTTATAAGCCCAGTCTTAGCCCAGGTGTATCCACCTATGTATGCCCACACCCTACTCCATCATCAGGCATGCATTTAGTCTAATGGCAGGAGGGTGGAAAAGCCTGATGCTTTTTATTTACCCTACACAGAGTCACTGCTCATAGCCTTTACAGTGGGAAAATGGTGGTGGGGGCCCAAGGGAACTGCTAGCTCAAAAGCATGAGTCAGAAAGACTTGGGGTCCAGCCCCTGTTGTATCTTAAGGAGAGTTCTCTGGGGACCTTGGGCTACAGAATGCTGTGGGACTTAATTTGCCAAGACCCTTCACTGACCCCCATATCTTCATGGTCTAGGGACTCCCCTGGGGTTCTGGGCTTGCCCGGATCTTCTCATAGACAGTGCAGACTGCTGTAGAATCTCTGGGGCTCCGTGCACGGCAGGTGTCCTTCTGTAGGTCTTTCTACAATTGAAGCAGAGTCAGGAGTGGGTTCACCAGCTCCTAAGCATTAGGTGCCTGCTCAGTCAAGCTACCCTTTTCCTGTGCTCCTCCTGCAGGCAGTCCTGGCCGCAACTCTGATAAGTACCCAGAATACAGCTTCAGTACAGGCCTCTGTCCTCTCCCCAAGCTGCTTCCCCCACCCTCCCCACGTCCACGGGGCTCAGTGCTTCTCCCCTTTTAGGCTCTTTCCTGGTGAGGCTCTCCCTGGCAGCCTCAGTGAGAATCACACATGAGCCCCCATTTGCTGTATTTTTTCCTGCACTTATCATCTAACATTCATTTTTTGTTTGTTTTGTTTTTCTTCCCTCCTCTAATCTAGAATGTATATTCTAAAAGGTCAAGGAGTTTGCTGTTTGTTGACTGCTGTAGCCAGATCAGAACAATCTGGAAACGCAGTAAACAGTAAATATTTTTTACAGAATTCTCTTGTGGAAGAAACTTGTAAACCATCTTGAATGTTCTCTTTACAAAGTGCTTTCAAAAACAGCAAAGCATCAGATAATTGCAAGACAGTTGGGCTGTAATCCTCACTTTATAAAGGAAGAAGGCGATGCTGGGGAGTAAAGTGATATTGTAAGTTGACAAGAAATCAGTGTCAGAGCTGGATTTCATGTCCAGTTCTCCCGACTCTGTCCTTCATGTCCCCCCTCTCTCCCTGAGTTGGTCTCCCCGTGTCCTGGGAGGGCACTCATTCTCCACACCAGGCTGGCCACTCCCCCAAGGCCAGGGACTGAGGTGTCAGGGGCTTCAGGACAGGCTCAGTGTCTGGGCCAGATGTCACCTGACTTTTTTCTCCATCCGAAAGCCACACATTGCTCCCCACTGGGGCTTCTCTGGTACAGGGTGTTGGGGTTTGGGTCCCAAGGAGGTATTTCCCAAGTCCCCTGAGGCCCAGGTCAGATGGAGCATAGCTCAGAGGGGCCAAGGGGAGAAGTCGCAGGATGGAGGTGCTCAGAAAACTGGGGACAGCGCACAGCAGGCTGGGCTGGGAGCAAGGTCACCCCCATTCTGTTGTGTGCTCGCCCCAGTTCTCTGCCAAGTCCGTCTTCCTCATGGATCCCAAATTCCCCCATTGTAAACTGCTGGGACCAGACCAGAAGGTTTCTCATGTCCCGCTGCTCTGTGGGGCCATGATCCAGAGTTGCCCCATCTTTAGAGAGGTCAGGGGAGATGGGACAGGAGGGTGTGGCATGACTGGGCTGCTCCCAGGAGTCCAGACCTGGGTTCTGCCTGCTCTCCTGCTCACTCCCTAGCCCAGGGGTCCTCAAAGTGGGGGGACCAGGAGCATCAGCATCACATGTTAGAAATACACTTTCTCAGGGCTGCCCTAACCATGGAGGCAGAAGCTCTGGGAGTGGCCCGTGCTGGGGCCACCTGTGCTTCACCAAGCCCCTCAGGTGTTTCTCATGTGAGCTCAGCTAAGGACCATTGCTTCTGGGGAGCCCCCAGTGTTCTCTCCTCCTCCAACTTGTCCTGCCTCCAGGTCTCCCCCTCCAAGATCTTGATGGATCTTGCCATCTGGGATCACAGTTTCAATTTCCAAATGAGGGTCAATGAGATGCGTGGGGGGAGGGGGGATTGTATCTTTCAGAGGAGCAACAAAGCCTTCACCCACAGGTGGCATAGATGGTGGGATCGCAGGCAGGTAGAGGAAGGTGACCTGCAGTGTGGGGGAGGATAGGGCTTGCCAGATGCTCCTAGTTCCGCCCATCTGCCCCACCTCCAGAGCCTGCCAGTGGCCCCTGCTTCTGCTTCCTTTAGGTCATTCAGAAAAGGCAGGGCTTCTGAGCTCACATCAGCTGTTGTGTTCTGACTTGACTCCCTTAGACCTACCTGGGGCTGTCTCAGGGGGCTGACCTTCGAATACTTGGCCTCTGCATTGCTGTAGACGTCGTACTCGGGCAGCTCAGCAGGTTCTCCTGGGGGAAGGGCCTGAGGAGCAGCTGCCCAGGATGCCCCTGCACACAGCAGACACTCCATGAGGGGTGCACAACTGGGGTGATCTCTGTCAACCCCAGGGCAAGGCAGCTACCTCTCCACAGGCTGCACATTCAGGCCCCAGCTCCTGCCATCCAGCCCCCCTCCATTCTGGGCGTGCACACAGCTCCCACAGAGCCCTGCTCTACCCTGCCTTCTGCAGGTGATGCACAGGGGAGCCCATGTCCCCTCCAGCCCTCCCCCCTCCATGTGCTCCCCTCCCCCAGGTTTCCCTACCCCAGGGTGTTCCTGAGGTCCCAGAACCTACTTTTCCCAGTCTTCCTCTTCATCCTCACCCAGACCCACACTCCAGCCCCCAGGATCAGCATCAACATCAGAACCATGGGAAGGATGCTGCTCCAGATCCATTTTCTCTGAACAGAGCCTGGGGATCAAGGGCTAGTGTCAGATCTGCCTCTCAGGCTGGGGGCCAGGCAGAGGGAGCAGAGGGGTTCTGCACCCCAAGTGTCCTGCTGAGGGTCGTCTCCTTCCCAGTCTCCCTTCCCACTGGCCATATCACATTAATGTTTCTTCTGTGTGACTCTGTCCCGATTCCCCACAGGAAGCTCGGAGGCCACCCACTAGCTGGATATGCCACTGCTCATCCCCTCAGCCTGCCTCTTAATTCTCCTCTCAGATTCCCTGAAGAGACATATATTCCTGGAAGGAGAAGAGATGGAAGAATCACGAAACCTCAGGGCTTGTTCTATTCTCAGTTTGGGATGCCTGTCTCACGCTGCCACAAGAAAACTCCTGTTCATCCTCAAGGCCCAACTCAGGTATCCCCTTCTCTGAGACCTTCCCCAACTCCTGCAGCAGCTACTCTGTTTCTTGTAGTCCTTTTTGTACTCGAACCATATACTTTGGTGGTTTTCCCCAAATTTTATTGTTTTTCCAATCATTTACATGAATATATAACTTGGGGTCTTCACCCCTTCATATGTGCATAGCTTCACTCACCCTCCAGCAAAGCTCCTATGCTGATGTCCTAGAATCTTCCCTCCCCTCCCGCTCCTGCTACCATCCCACCCCCTCTGGCAGCCACTGTATTTTCCAGGGTCTAAAGGTTAGTTTTGTTGTGCTTTGCCAGTATGCTTTCTTTCGAACCATATACTTTGTATTTGCTTCAGCCACAGCACTTAACCAATTACTTTATATCCAGAAATTACTCATCTTCTTTGACTATTTTCTAAAAATTATGGACACAATCTGTGACATACACTGGATTAACAATTTTATGTAGATTGCTTCTTTTAGTCCTCACCACAGTCCTAGGAAACAGATAAAATTCTTATCCATATCACTTGAAGGCTCCAAAAGTTAAGTGTCCAGGGCCCACAGCCAGGGTGTGGTGACACTACACACACACACACTCACACACACTACACCGTAAGTCCTTGAGGACAGGGATTGTCTGGTTTTTCACAGACCCCTTCCCCCCCACGCTGCACATAGTAGGTGCTCACTCCAAGTGTGAGGGTTGAATCCTGAGTGGCTGAGTGAGGAAATGACGCTGAAGAGACTATTCCGCCCATGTAAGCAGCCACGCTGGGGGCCGGGCAGTGGGAGGGGCAGCAGAACTGACCATCACCTTCCCTTCCGTCACTTGGCCCTGACCTGTCGTCCTAGGAAAGTAGGGGGTTTGGATCTGTATGAAACTAGGACCCAGGGCTCCCCCCTCCTGACTCTGTACAGCCTTTTATGTAGCAGAGGTGACAGCATAGGTGGCTGGGGGGGGGAGGGGCGGCGTGTGGCAATGACCATGGTAACCACAGGGGCTCTCGCTGCTCGGAGGAGAGCTGAGCTGGGTTGTGCTCTCAGCAGTGGTGAGCGTCCTCAGAATGACATGATTGGCCCGCAGCAGAGACGGGCATCCATCACTCTGAACACCCAACCCATGCAGGGAGGGACTCTGGGTCTGGCGGGCAAAGGCATTCCAGCGTGAAGGCTTAGTCCTTACTCCCCAAGCCTTTCTTCTCTCCTGATCATCTTCTGGTGAGTCATTCAGCCTCTCAGGCCCCTAGATGATGGGAAAGGGGTTACCGACATGCCAGCCCCACATTACTGTCCTGGTGATGCCACAATCTCCACATCTCCACATACTGGTCCAATTTCTGGCCTTGCTGGTGTGGAGACACTGAAGAGGCCTGGCTGCCCACTGGGTGGGGGCTTTTGGTTGTACCACAACAACAGCCTTAAAATGTTCCTCAGACCCACCATTTCCTCTGAGCCCTCCAGTTTGTCTCTCCCCCACTGTTACCCAAGAGCCCACTGTCATCACCCTTCCTGACAGCTCACTCACCCCCCGGTAGGCAGATGCTGTCCAGGTGCAAGGTCACATTCTTCCTGTCCACCGGGTTGCTGACCACACAGGTGAGGCTGGTGTTGGTCTGGTTCAGGAGCAGGGTCAGGCTTAGATTCCAGGGCTTGGGTGCCAGTCCCAGTGGCCCACTCTGCTCCAGCTCCCAGGGCAGGTCCTGGCTCTCCCAGGCCACTGTCAGGTGCTCTGTGACCCCAGGGACCCCACACTCCAGGCTGACCTTGCACCAGCCTGATGTGTGGGCTGATGAATGGATCAGAATCTGTGGGTGGGGGACAGGCTCTGGGATAAGGAGGGGCAAAAAGAGAAACTGAGCTTCAGAAGTGGATGCCCAGGCAAGTATCACCTGCTCTCTCTTATGTGACCCAGATGTGTGAGGTTTTCCGGAAGGAACCTACCCCCTCATCTGGGGTTCTGATTCCCAGCCCAGAGGCCCCTCTTGCTCACTAAGTCTAGATAATTAATAACTGATGTATATGATATACTTATACATGATAATCACATAAATTATTATTTGGTGCTAAAGTCAACATGGAAGGAACTTAAAATACAGTGGGAAGGGGCCTCACTGGTGGTGCAAGGGGTTAAGCACCGCACTGTGAAGCAATCCACAGCCTCTGCAGCATGAGTTCGATCCCCGGCTGGCCAGGGAGCAACCCACATGGCGCAGCAGACCTCTCCTGTCTCGCCCACTGCTCCTCTCAGCAGTGTATTTCAGTCAGTCTGCCTGTTCTGCTCCCCACTCTGTCTCTGTTGGATCCTCTCACCCCCTCCACACCTCTGGCCTGTACCCCAGCTCTTCTATGCATAAATAAATAAATCTTAAAAAAAGAAAGTGGCATTAATTAAACAGAAAGCAAAGAAAGATGACAAATAAAAAATATAAAGTAAGATGTCAGAAGCAGGTCCCTGCATATAAAAAAATTGAGTATTTTTAATGCATCATATCACTACATTTAATAAACAAGACACATTAAGTAAATCCAACTGTAAGCCATTTACATTAGCTAATGACACAGAAAGAATAAAAAGAAAGAGGTGGGAAATGATAGATAAGGAAAATGTTAATAAAATTATTGCAGGTAAGGGAATAGTCACTGAAGAACAAATAAAATAAATAAAATTTTAAACCAAAAAGATTAAGAAAGCCAAATAAAGACATTTTAGATGAATATCAGTTAACATGGTTGGGAAATATATAAATATGTAAATCAAATCAAAACCAAAACACTACTGAAAGTTGAAGAATAAACCATCAAGTCCACTATTACTATCCTGAATTATCTTACTCTGAAGGACACACCCACCTAGATTAGAGGGGAGGGCATAATTTAGGAGAAAACAGGTATTAGTAACAATGTGGCTAGTCTGACAGGAAGCTCGCTCCATACTCATTCCCAACCCCTCTAGGTCTTTGCCTTCCTCTGCTATAGCCTGGAGCTAAATTCTTATTTCCAGTCTTGCTAGCAGTTACATTGATTCTGAACAATGAAGTAGGAGGAAATCTGCCATGTGGGAGGAAAGGTCTTTACTGCTGAAAAGACAAATTCTCAAAACAAGAAATACTTTCCCCTTGTCCTTCCCCTTTGTCATCTCTATTGTGCAGTGATATTGGAGCAGCAGATACCTTGGCACTGAGGCAGCAGGCTGAGGACACAGCCTGTGTGCCAGGGATGGCAGAGCAGAAACACAGAGCAAGCCAAACCCCCCCAGGTACAGGGCTGAGGAGAGGGTGGATGTCAACAATGCTCTCTCTCCACTTCTTGTAGCCTGAGAAATAGAATTACCCACTCACTTAATACTTTAAAAATCAAGTTATATGCTAATTGTTCTGAAGCATATACCACATGTGCATAGATGATACTAAGATTTGTTCAGGAAAAATCAACAGGTGATTTTAAAAATCAAAGGAAAGTAGATTAATATCTGACTAAAAAATTAAAGCTCTAAGTACATGCCATTAGAAATGAAAATCAGAGCACAGGTAAGAAAAAGTATTTAAAATTATAAAGAAACTCTTTGTACAACTACATGTCAATAAATCAGTCACACAAATAACTCCCCAGTGCAAGGCAGACAGAAACAGGATCCCTAAAAGAATTAGGAAAAAGAATGTGCAACTTCAACATGGAAATACTCAGTTAATAGGAGTCAGAAAAGACCTTAGGACATGCAGTTGTGAAAGTCAAGAGGCAGGGGAGGGAGACTCCCAGGGGTGGTGGTGAGCAGGCAGTTCCTGAGACATCACTTCCCTCGGGGACAGTGGGGATGAGTGTACAGGGGAGCACGCACATCTGGAATGGAGACTGGGACTGGAGAACTGGTCTCTTAGCAAGGAGAGACAGAAGCCACCAGAAAAGGAAGGAAAGCTGAGAAACTGTAAGTGAGGAACAGTCACAGTTCCTTGAGAGGGACACCATCCCTCCCTCAACAGTCCCAGGCGCTCCCGTGGTGCTGCGTAGAGTGATAACTCAGTGTGAGAGCACAGCCTATTCCACAGCAGAACAAAGGACATCCAGGCAGCTGGTGACTGGGTTTGGCAGTGTGGAGAGAAACCTGGCCATCCCAGGGTGGTCTCTGGGCTCCCAGGACTGCCTGTGCCCATCCTTTGAGGGGGGGTGGGAAACATCTGCCCTTTCCTACTCCCCCCACACACAACGTCCCAATCTGTGCCTACAAAGAAACTACAAGAGGCTACAGTGAACTTGGCCAGGCCAGCAGCATTTTCAGGGTCACTTTGGAGAGGCAACCAAAGGGCTGGCCTGGAAATGGCACCACCCCTGGCATGTCTCTCTCCATACTGGGGAGAATGCAGCACCTCTGAGCATACTGCTCCAATAACCATTTTGGCAGAGTACTTCTACATGAGATGCTGCAGAAAGACTGAGTACCTGCCTTACCCACCCCTATGAGACCTGTGAGGCCGTGGCCACAGAGTCAGAAACTACAAGTAACCACAGGGACAGGTCTGCAAACAAGGGACTTCCTGGTTGCTGGTGACCAGGGTGGGGAATCAGTGCTCCTTTGGGCCCCCCCGATGCTTCTAATTTTCTACTGCTAGAAAATAAAGACCCTTAGGGGAGAAGATCTAATACAGCAAATGAACAGACAAAAAAGCAGAGGGCAACTTGAGACCTCAAGGGTGTACGTCACCACAGAAGGGAACAAGTCTCCAGAATCCAACCACAAAGATATGGAAGATTTTATCTTCTTATTGGGAGAAAGTCCAAAATTTCCATGGTAAAGAGAAAATGCAGAAAAAATGGAGAAAATGCAGAAAAAAAATGAATGACCTGAGAAATGCAATTAATGAACTCAAATTAGAAATTTAAGTTTTAAAAAAGAAAAGAAAGCATCAGTGGGTAGAGGAGTTATAGCGTTAAGATGAGATGGGTCTCTCACCATGAGAGGCTATCATGAGCAAAGTAAGTGTTGAAAGATTTAATTTGGGCACTGGTGGATTATCAGGGGATGGAAAGAAAGATGAAAGGAAAACAGCTGGAAACACTTCTTTTTTTTTCTGGTATCTCCTCTTCTCCAGCATTGAGTTTTTGATTATTGTGATTGTCAATCACAGCACCCTGACCCTGGTTTCAGGGGCGGGCACAAGTGGCTAATCAACCATCCTATTTCCCTGCCTGATCACCCACCTTAGGGTGGACTTATGACCCACGCCCAGTCACTAAGAGTCCTTCCCTGGAACTTTCCATGTGGAATGTTCCAGGAAAGACTCTTTGCTCTATGGTTGGCTTGGGCCCATAGCTGTCATAGTCCCCACTGTGTGGAGAAAGCCAAGAGAATAGAGGGGGAGAATGCGAGAGAAGCAGACATGAAAGGTATGACCCCTGACAGAGGACAGTGCCCATCAGCTTTCCAGCTTTCCAGTTCCCGTGACCACGAGGGCCTGAGGAGCCCCTTCATTGACCTTCCTCCTAGAGGTCTCTATATCTTTACAATAAACCCTCCTTCATTGATCTCATTTGAGCAGATTTCCATTTCTTGCTGTCAAAAGTAATAGGATGAGACTGTGTCCGCATGATATTACTCAGGAGGTATGCAAGTTTATCAGTCAAGGAGGAAAGGAGACCCTTCACCATAGGAAACCAGCTTGGACAGCAACCCAGTCAACCGTTCTCTTCTTAAAGCTTTCCCACCTACTGTGTGGGAGTTCTCACCCTCCCCCATATGCACTGGATGAGGATGTGCTGGTTGTGCAGGGCAGGAATGGTAGATGATGTCTCTGGAGAGCCATCAGTGTATGTCAAGGAGGAGAGAAGGGGTTAGAAAATTTTGAGCATGGCACCGGGTGGAAAATGCCTAGAATTGAGGCTGGACAGCCAAGAGGGCCTGGACTTCTTGTCCTGAGTGCCATCCATCCTGTAGAATAGGATGCGGAGCATTGTTTGCGTTTAAGCAGAAATATAACAGAAAGTGTTCTGCCTTTTAAAAAAGTCCAAATAGCAGTTGCATGGAGCGTGATTTGGAAGGAGAAAGAAATCAGAGTCAGTGAGGCCTCAGTGATAACCCAAGCAGAGGGGATGGAGGGAGGGCGGGTTGGAGGCAGAGAGTACCAAGGAGAAAAGAGAGTCATTTGGGGTTGGGAAGTAGGGTATGTCCTGATTTTAAGCTAACTTACTTAATGAGGTTGTGGAATGTCTGCTTGGGCCTGGCTCCCACCTTACCATATACACAGAGTCTGAAGGCTTTCTTCTGGGATGCTCCTGAGTGGAATTTGGTTTTCGCTGTATATATTCCACTCATTTCCGTTGTGAGATCTGTGATGGTCAAGAAGCCCATCTCTGTCAGGAAGAGCCTGCTCTTGTATTTTTCTTCAATTTTATACCATTCAGGAGCAGAGGTATTAGGCCTCCAGGACACCAGAAACTGTCCTTCTTTGTCCCCATGACCCCAGGTCCACTCAATCTCCCGAATGTCAGGGCATGAGGAGCAGTTCAGTGGCAGCTGGACAGACTCCCCAACAGCTTTTTCCAGTGTGGAGGGAAAGCTGGGGTCTTCGGCTGTCTGGGAACCTGGCAAAGAAATAGCTAAGAATGGAGGTGAAAGGAAAGATTATGTCATATCTGGTACATGTTTTCACATCACATTACTTTATATTTATAAAATGAAGCTGCAGAGGTGACTTGCTAAGGTGTTGGGCTGGCCTAGAACATGATAGTTTTGATTTAAGCTCATGTCTGCTGCCCTCCCAGACTCTTGTTCTTTCCTTTTCTTGCAGCTTGCACTGCACAGCTTGCAGCCCAATTTCCTGGAGCTGGTTTAATTCCGGGAAAAAGAAAGTGATCTTATTAAAGTTGATAAACAATAATTCAATTCCCCCATTTGTTTATCTACACCAGAAGAAAATCATTTCAGCTTTCTCTGTTGCCAGCATGTTTTCTTCAGTCTACTGCAGTGTTGCTTCTGGTCCCCCACTCCACTGAAAATACTCTTGATCGAATCACTAATAAGGCCTTAAAATGATGAAATCTAGTTGTCACTGGTCAGTCCTAGTTTTACAGTACCATCTTGTGGTATTTGACATGCAACTAGCTTCTATTCTTCATATTCCACTTTTTGGTACAAATTTGTGCTCCTTTGGGTCAGTCTGCCTTCATTCAACAAATGCTAATGAGCGGGACACTGTTGGGGTTACTCTAGACACAGGGGAGAACCAGCACCAGGGCCTGCTCTTGGAGCTTCCCTTCTAGTAAAGGGGTTGCTGAAAACTCAGGGGAAACGAAGGACTTCAGATCATTAAAAAACTATAAAGGAAAATAAAAAAGAGCAGATTTCTCATCTGCTGCCTCTAATCTGAACTTTCTTCTCTTATCTGTGCATTTTTCTGTTTATTGAGGCAGAGCCCACCTCCCACTATTGAATTGAAGATGCCAGACACTCATTCTTCAGCCTCCTTTGCTGCAGAGGTGGCACATGACCTGGACATGTCCAAAAATATGCCCCTTCCCTGGACATTCAAATACAGGCTCATGGCATGAAAAGAACTATGGCATCTGTGCTCTTTGCAACAGTAACTGCATCAGCCACACCCAGTTGCCTGAGGCAGTGGCAGCGTGTGGGACAGAGCTAGTGTCCAGAGTCAGTGGTGTTGGGGTGCAGCTGTGATGTCTGTGCCAGAAGTGACAGATCAGCTTTTACTGCACCAGCTCCAGTGCAGGATAGGGTGTGATTTCTGGACAAACAGTATCAACGCCTGATCACCTGGACTCCCCAAAGATGGGAGGGCCGCCTGGCATCCTCTTATATGTACATTCAGTTAGATGATTTCTGATGCTGTTAACCAAGAACACTGACTGACACTTAGGATAATGAGAATAGTGATTTGGTGGAGGTGGAGGGTGTGGGGAGTTAATCAAGGAGAGTCCTATGAAGGGTTAATAATTGAAGTGAACCCTGAGAGATGAGTGTTTCAGGCAAAGGAAGAGTTCCCAGTGCAAAGTTCCCAGTGCAGAAATGATCTTGGCTGGAAGCGGGCAGAGGGAGTAGATTGGAGCAGAATGAGTGAAGAGGAGCGCTGAGGACAGGGACCAGGAGGAAGGAAACCTCTGTAGGTGGGTAGGGAGTTTGGGTGAATCTAGTGCAAGAGGAAGACACTGAGTGATTTTTAGCAGAGTGATATCATGTGATTTACATTTTTAATGATCACTTTAGAATAGATACCATGTGGAGAATAGTTTATAGGGGGCAAGAGTAGAGGAAAGATTCTTGTTAGAAGGATCTTACAAAAGGTAAAGTGACAGAAGGCAGGTGCAGGACATGGGGAGAAGTGTAGCTATTCAGGAAAAAATTGGAGGCAGAATTAGCAGGGGCTGCTGATAGATTTGGATGCTGAAGTGAAGGAAAAGAAGAATGTCCAGGTTTCTGGCTTAAACAACTGAATAGACAGAGTGACATTAATGGAGATCAAATTAATATGAACCTAGGGAGGAGCAGGTTTGGGTGAGGAGAGACATAAAACAAAAACTCAGTTGTATTTATTAATACTTATTTTTAATTGAGGTAATGCTAGGATACCCCCACTATAGTGCACCCACCACCAAATCACCCACAGTCCACAGTGCTTCCTTCCTTCTCAGAAGCACTCAGTTTGGGACATGCTAACATCGGCTTCCAAGAGCAGATGTGGAGCAGGCAACAGCGTGTGGGTCTGAGTCTCAGGGAAAGGCCAGCATGGTCACTCTCCTTAAAGGCAGGATGTTAGCTACCTCAGTGGAGAGGAGTGCAGCCAGAGAGGAAAGGGAGCACCGCACTCACCACACTCACCACCAGAGGGTAGAAGGAGAAGGGAGGAGGGGAGCAGCTAGGGGGGATACCTTGGGAGCTTGAGTCACAAAGGCCCCAGGAGGAATGTGTTCAAGAAGGAAGGGGTGGGTGATGGTGGCAGCATGCTCAGTAGAAGTCAGCGAGCTTCTAGGCTTTTCTCTTCCTCCTTACTACTTTCAACATTACTCTGTGCTTCTCCATTCCTTTACTACCTACATTCCTAGTGCATGTTTCTCTGCTTTTATGTTAAAATATTCAATGTTACAACTCCTGCCCTCTCTTTCCCACTTCTTACCACCCCTCAAGAAGACAAAACACAAAACACTCATTAACCCACCTTCTCTGCTCTCCCCACCCCATGTAATGGTCTTACCCTCTCCAGGCAACATCCATCCAACTTAGAGATTTTCCCGAAATACTCAAGTGGTCTATTTCTAGACTATTTTTAGATTCTTTTTTCCTGAAAATATGACTCATTCACTTTAAGAATCTTTACATATCACTGAAGTAACAAATTTCCAGTCACACTACCATTATCCATTGTGGCTCTTTGCTTTCCATGATTTATTCTTTTTCTTTCCCTACTCTGATGATCTCTGTTGTGGTTAATTGTTGTTTCATTAAGAAGATTCTGAGGACATTATTCAAATGTGCTCTGTGGATAATATATTCCCTGAATCATTACTTAAGTGTCCAGAGTTTCTCATAACCTGACAGTAGGTGACACTGCGGCTGACTTGAAGGGTTTGTGGTTGCTATCACTTCTTTTTCGTGCACAGATGACTTTTCTCTGTCATCAAGCTTCTGGTTTGGAAGAAAAGTTTCCTGATTTTTTTCATTTCAAAGTATTTTACTTTAGGAAATTTCCTATGTTTTTGTTTCTTTTTGTCGTATTTCCAGAAATGTTCCAGCATGTGCTTAGCACGTCTCTTTGTCCTACTAAAGCAAAATTCTTATACATACAACAAACACTAAAAAGCATAACATTCAGTGGTATCTTGTGTCTTCACAGTGTTGTGTAACCATGCCCTCTCTCTAGTTTCAAAATAGGATCATCATCCCAGATTATACTCTGTCCATTAAGTAATCACTCCTTCCCCTCCCCAATCCTTTGGGAGGCACTAATCTGCTTTCTGTCTCTGCATTTCCCTGTCCTGGCAAACCAAATGAAGAGAATCACACAATGTGAAACTGCTTGTGTCTGGTTTCACTTAGCATAGTGTTTTTAAGTTCATCAAATTATAACTTGCATCAGTACATTTTCCCCTTTTATTGCTGGGTATTCTGTTGTATTTATAAACCACAATTTGTACATCTGATGTATTGATGTACATGTGAGTTGTTTATATATTTTAGCTATTATGAATAATGCCTTTATAAACATTTATGAAAAAGGCTCTATGTGGACATACGGTTTATTTTCCCTTGGATATATATCTAGGAGAGGACTTTCTGGGTCACATGGTAATACTAAGCTTGATTATTTTTTTTAAAGAATTGCCTAATAACACCCACTGTTTTCCACAGTAACGGCACCATTTCACATTCCTAACAGCAATGTACATGGCTTTATTTATCGACATCTTTGCCATTACCTGTCATTTTCCCTTTTTTTCCCATCTCAATGGCTGTGAAGTCCATCTTATTTGTGGTTCAATTAGCATTTCCTTAGTAACCAATAATGTTGAACATCATTTCATGCACTTGTTAGCTATTTGTGTATTTTCTTTGGAGGAAAATACACATCCTTTGCCCATTTGAAAAATAATTTTATTTTCCCTTTTTGCTGTTGAGTTGTGAGAGTTCTTTTTTTTTTTAAAGATTGATTTATTTATTTTATACCCGGGTACAGGCCAGATGCGTGGGAGGGTGAGAGGATTCACCAGAAACAGAGCGGGGAACAGAACAGGCAGACTGAGGAAGTAAACTGCTGAGGGGAGCAGTGGGCAAGGCAGGAGAGGTCTGCCGCCCAATGTGGGACACTTGCCAGCTGGCCCGGATCGAACCAGTGCTGCAGAGGCTGCGGACAACTTCACAGCTGGCGCTCAACCACCTGCACCACCACGGGAGGCCCGAGAGTTCTTAATATTTTCTGATTTTCTGGATACTGAAACCTATCCTGTTACTTGTCTTTTTATAGTCTTAATATCTTTTACTCCACCAAAGTTTTCATTTTAATAAAGTCAAATTTGTCTATTTTTTAATATTGTTGTTCATGCTTTTGATGTCAAGTCCAAAAATCCAAATCATAGGTCAAATTGGCAAATCTGAGATCATGAATAATTTATCTCTATTTTCTTCTAATAGTTTTATAGTTGCAGCTGTTATATTTAGGTTTTTGACTTTTCATTTGTTTGATTTCATTTTTGTATATGATATGAGGTAGGGATGGTATTTCATTATTTTGTATGTGACTACTCAGTACCATAGAATGATCTTGAAAATCAATTGGTTATAGATGTTTGAGTCTATTTCTGGGCTCTTAATTCTATTACCTTAGTCTATATATCCATTCCATGTCAATACCACACTGTTTTGATCACCATAGCTTCATAGCATGTTTTGAAATTGGAGATGTGAGTCCTCCATATGAATTTGAAGTTCATCTTTTCCATTTCTGAAAAAGAAATTTTGATAGGGACTGTATTAATTTAGGGGGAGTATTGCCACCTTAACAATATTGTCTTCCAACTCATGAACGTCTTTCATTCATTTAGTTTTTTTAATTTTTATCATCAATATTTTGTAGTTTTCAGTGTAAAAG